TCTGCTTCGCTTTACTTCCTGCTCTGCTTCGCTTTACTTCCTGCTCTGCTTCGCTTTACTTCCTGCTCTGCTTCGCTTTACTTCCTGCTCTGCTTGGCCTTCTTGTGCTTCTTCTCGCTCTTCTCCTTGCCCTTCTCAGCCTCCTTGTACGCTTCCGCAACAGCCTCGCCAGCCTTCCTCTTCTTCTCGCCCGTCTTGACAGCCACGGTCAGGTTATCAGTGCGACCGCCCTTGGATGCTTTGGCGACCGAGCGCTCGGCTTCCGCCCAGTCGTCTGCTCCGGCACCGATTTCGTACCTGCGAAAACATGATTAGCATGCTGTCCCAAGCAAAAAGTGTGTCGAGGCGAACTTACTTGTGCAGCGGCAAAGCGTCAATAAGTGCTTTAGCACGCTCGCGCTCTTCCTGGTCAGCCAGGAACTCGTCTCCGCCTTCCTGCAGCTCCTCCTCGAGACTCTTCTCCAGCGGCTTGAAGCGCGGATCCGCGCCAGCATCGCCATCAACACCCTCATCCTCAACCTCCATAGCCTCCGGCATCTCCTCCCTGACAGCGCCCTCAAGGATTCCGCGGAATGCTGTCGCCACCTTACGAATGACCTTGACGAACATGGCCATCAGTTGTGAAGACGAGAGATTGAGCTCCCTCTCCACGTCGGAAAATTCTTTGCGCTGCAGACCAACAGCGAGGAGCAGCGCGACCTGCACACCGCTCATCTTGATCTGCGACTTGAGGCGCCCGGTGAAGTAGAGTGTGGCGATGGAGGGAAGCATGTCAAGGATGACGTGGTAGTCGAGCATGTTGTTTGCGTACGAGTCCAGTCTCTTCAGGTCAAAGGGGCTGAACAGGGCGTCCAGCTCTGCCTTTGTGATCGGTGTAGCTTGCAGCTCGGTGTCGAGGTTTGCGCCGTGCGATGCGGACTCCTCGATGGAGAGTGATGTTACGGAGGGGAAGGAGCGGAACTGGTAGGAGAGAAGGGAGAGGAAGCGTTTCTGGAAATCCTTTGCAAAGGCTGCCACCCACGAGCCGTCTGAGGATGTGGTTTCCAGCGAGCGCAGCATGATGCATGTGTGCTCGCCAGTGAGGTCGTTGGGTGTTTGCCGCAGGTAGACGGGGACGAAGGACTGGCGCTTCCAGAACTTGTGCAGCTGGCTCGTCAACCCGTAGCTTACGCCCACGTAGTCGAGCTTAGGGGCAGCAAGCTCAGGCAAGCGGGCGAAAAGAGGCGGCATTTCGGATGCCTCGCGGACCTTGATGGTGTCGGTTTGGAGAGTTGCGGATTCGAGGTCGGATTCTGTAACACGCTTCATCGTTTCGATTTCGCTGGGTGCGGACTCGGACAAAGAAGCGAGCTTGCCGTCGTAGAAATCTACGAGCAGGGAGAGCGCGCGCGAGCCGTAGCCCATATTCACGTAGTCTGGGTTTGTGGCTATCCTGACGACGCGCGCACCGGAGAGCGAAGCGAAGTTCTCGTCCTGGAATTGTTGTGAGACGATCCAGGGGATGAGATCACCGCCTGCTCTTTGACCGCGGGACAGGCTACTGAGGACGCTTTCTCTGCTGATCTGGCCTTCGAGTGCTACCTGAATGACACAGAGGGGCTCGGGGAGCTTGTTGTCCTCGGCGGGTGCGGTGAGAACGAAAAGTTGGTGGGCGGGCGCGTCTGACATGAGCTGGAGATCGTTGGGGGTGTTCTTGTAGTGACTAGCGACGTAGAGAGCCATCATCTTCTGCAGGAACTTCTCAGCAGCTGGATTGTACGAGAAGAGGGTATCGCGGTTGACGTGGAGCAGCTGGCACTCATTGGGATGTGGGCATCCTTGAGTGCCCAGCTTCGATCGTGGCAAAGTAGCGTCCAGGCAGAGGAGGTCGTTCATCCATCGTTCTACAGAATCGCCTTGGGCGTATCGGATGGGTTCCGAGAGTGTGATTTCGCGCAATGAGCGGCCAGCCATGGATGGTTCTGTCCCGTCCTTGCTCTCCTTCCCTGTAGCTCGGTCGACTACGGTCGATGAACCGTTGGTTTTCCGTCCTCTCGATTGCTCACGAAGCTGGTTGATGAGCTTGAGAGAGAGCGAACGACCTGTTCCTTCGTAACCGTTGATTGTCGAAGCCATAAACACCAGGTAAGGGCCCATCAGTTTGCGCACCAGCGGCAGAGGAATGGCTGCAGCTTCATCGATGACCAACAACTCGGCCTGGCCCAGCTGATTCGCGTCCTGTGGCTGAATGTACTGGATCGTTTGCCTGTGCTGTCGGTGCACGTTGACGCGGACAATCGCCTTGTTGAACTCTGCATGTGTCGACTGCAGGATGTTGTAGTCCTGATGTTCCATGTAGCCCAGCGCATCGAAGCCCTTGAAAACGAACTCGAACAGTGTCTTCAAGTTCTCGGGGCTTGGCGATGTGATGAAGATGTTGCTGTAACCGTGTGCAATCGCCGCCGCAATCGCCACACCCAGCGCTGCAGACTTTCCGCGACCACGCGCCGCCGTCAGAGTCACGGTGCTCTGTAGCGTCTTCTCTGCGATCGCGTCGACGAATGTGAGGAGGGCCTTTGCTTGATCCACCGTCTTCGCCAGCTTGACGAGGTCGCCCACAGGCGGTGTGTCTGCCAGCGATTCCTTGATCTCTTCCAACTCCTTCGCCTTTGGTGTCTTGCCTTCGAGCTCTGGGTCCGGTGGCGCTAACTGCCTAACGTGCTTCCCGCCGGAGATGGGCAGCACGTTCAGCTCGTCGTCCACCACCAAGCAGCTGTCGCATTTCCCGAGGGAGAGGAGGAATCGTTCGTTGAATCGGGCGACGACGTCGCTGTGCGCTTCGGTCCGGTACCGCGAGTGGATGTCCATGGACATTGTGTAGAGCTGCTTCAAGCTGTTCATGCCCTTTAACAGCAGAATCACCAATCCTCCACCTTCGACCGTCTCGATTGTGCGCGCAAGCAGGTTCGGCGTAAGCGCTTCGAAGTCCTGCAGGATACACATGCCGTATGTGTTACCCAGAATCTTCTCCGTCTCCTTGTAGTAGACATATCGGATATTCTGTGTCGAGACGAATAGCTCGAACGGGTCTTCGGTGTCGATGTCGCGGATGCCGCGCTTGATCTCGCTCTTGATCTTCTTCTCGCGTTTCTTGCGGTGACTCGAGAACCCGAGCAGCTTGTTCTTGTATGCCCAGAGTACCGACTTGTTCAGCTTGACGTCGACGTTGAGCAGGATGTGGTACAGATTTACGATGACATCTTTCTGGCGATCGCCGACGACTACGAAGAAGCTTCGTTTCTTCTCCTGCGCATTGTGAGCATGGACAGGTCGCGGTGGTAGCTTTGTGAGCACATACCTGAGCACCATTCCGGATCAGTGCCGGGATGCGGGAGTCACTAGACAATCATGAGCATGATTCGAGCGTGCAGAATGTGCATCTTCACATACATAGCTTTCTTCGGCATCTTGACAGCTCCGCAGGCTTCCCGCCTCTTCCCTACGTTGTCGTTTGTTCAGGGGTTGCACGCCTCTAGAAGATCCAAGATCGATCGCGGAGGTGATCTGATGCTGTCTTGGTCTTTTCAGCTGTTCAAACCTCCGGATGCGTGGGCTATGCGCGTGGTGGCTGCGAGAGTTGCGGGCCGTGCAGCCATAAATTTCGAAGTCCAAATCGGCAGAATTTGACGCTAGATGGCAGCCCATGTCACCGCCCCAGAGTTACCCGATTCGGTACTCTGCAAATCTGTTGATCGCTGTCAGGATACATCTGATGACCTTGCGAATATCCACGGATGTATCCGAAAAGATGCCAACCCGCGGATCGCGCTGCCATTCTGAGACAGTCTCTTGACGCACATATACCCAGTGCATCCTTAGAACAGACGTTTTTGATGCTCAGATACGCCAATACAGCTCGTCTGGAGCAACGGTGGCTTCACGGGTTGCATTGCTATGTGCGACGCTCCAGGGGATAGTGGTAGTATTACGCGACGCATCTGTGACAAGGCTATAGTATAGGTGCGCTAACCAAGAGACACAAGGGTATAACGTGTGTGCTCAGGGAACGCTACAGCTCAAACGCATACGACCGCAAGCAGCGGCCTACTCACATCTGCTCAGCACGCACAGCCAACTCTTTCTCAGCCTCCAACGCTTCGTACCCCTTCCCATCGCCACCCCCAATCTGCTCTGAGCCCTTCACCTGTTCAGCACCCTTCTCACTCCACTCTCCGGCTGTGGCGTCGACCTCTCTTGTCGCATCCTCTCTTAGCTTGTCACTGCGTTGGTAGAAGTCGTCAATGTCCTCACAGCCCCTCGGTGTGCGACACACCTTCCTAGCCTCTTCAGGTGCCGTCTTCCACAGCACCTCTCTGACCTCTTTTCCAACCTTCTCGATGGCATCCATAGCCCAGAGAACATCCAGATGCTCATAACCTTCGATGACTTTGGAGTGGACTACATCAACGTACGGTTCGCGATTGCGCTCGAAGCGGCGTAGGAGACGGCGGCCGTCGACAAGATCATCTGCACCACAGACCCAGAGAGCGAATGGTGGTGTGTGCGGGCCGTACCAAGCAAACCGAGCGCGACTGCTGTCTCGTCTGCGTGAGCTGCATTCCTTCTCGTCAAGGACGCTGTCGCCGGGTTGGGCGTCGTCTGATTCTTCGTCGTCGGAACCGTCTCTCGAACGAGATCTGGATCTGTCCTCTTCTTCGTCCTCCTTCTCTTCGATCGTCTTCTCTTCTTTTGTGGACAATATGCACTTGTGTTTTGCAAAGCACTCGCGTCCGAGCCACCACCTCATGCTCTCCGCGCTAACGTAGACGGGCGAGAACTGGAAAAGGCGGTCTCGGAGGTCTTGATCCCATCGCTCATCTGTCCAGTTGAAGAGGAAGGAGAACACGCGGTAACCCATGGTGCCGTACATCTTGCCCGGAAGTAGAGAGTGCATGGTCATCATGAAGGGGATGAAGGCGTGTATCCCGAACACGACTCGGAACATGGCGGGAGAGATTACTTGCATGAATTTGAAGTAGGCTTTCTGGATCAGGGGACCTGCGTACGCCGCTGGTGCAAGTGCGCAGAACACAGAGATCTTGTCGCCGATCTCAGGGCGTTGCTCCTTGGCCATAGCAACGAGACTTTGCGTAGTGCCCTGACTGTGGGCAATGAGACCAAGTTTCTCAAAGCCGGTCTCGGAGAGTACTCGTGAAATGAGTGCCGGCAGATCCATGACGCCCATTTGTCGGATGTTCCAAGCCCACATTCTCGGGTCGCTGTAGTCCAGCATCTTGTGGCGAGGATTGAAGCCGCAGCGATTGTTTCCTAACCAGACATCGTAACCACTTTTGGCAAGAAAGAAGGCGAGACTGTCATCGTCGTTTGTACAATAGGCGCCGGCTGATTGCAGAAGTCCGTGGATCAAAAGGATAGGATACTTCTTCTGGCCTGATGGGTATTGCGAGCCTGGTACCCCATTACAAGACGTTGTCCTTCTGAAGACGTCAGGTGCGTGCGGTACTCTTTCAGACTCGTCGGTGCGGTTGTAGTCTCGCGGATTGTATAGGTGCCAAAGATCGATGATAAAGCCATCCTCGGTTTGTACTTCAAAGATCTCGCAGTCGAGCCCTACGCGGCGTGCGTAGTAACGAACATCGCACTTGAGCTCATCTGGGCCACCTTCCAAGGGTACGAACTCATCCCCCTCTTTACCCTCTTCATTGTCATCTACGAGCTTCTGCGATTCTACGGTATGCTGCTGCTTTTTCCATGCTACCTCGGCTGCTCTCCTTGCTTTCTTGCGCCTCTCCTCCTCTTCGAAGAACGGTCGACGCTTGTCTGGGTTTTGCCTTTTAAGTCGGGTCCAGATGTGCTCCGCGACAATGGGTATAGAAGTGAATGCTGCCCCCAGTATGATGACGAGCAGGAAACAAAAGGATAAGATCGCAGATGAAATCCGCAGTAGAATGCAATGGACCTTTCTCAGTGTGCTCGGTGGACCATATACAGGCACTGGTGGGAACATTGGATTTGTCCTTGAAGGGGCTTTGCTTTCGCCTAGAGGGGCATCGGTTCCCTTCTTCTGGTTTTCTTCATTCTTCCTCTTTGGCCGCACTCCGTGGAGGGTCCCGTCTTTCGATTCCCGTAACTCGCCTGACACAGGTTCACTTTCCAATGGATCGCGATCCTCGAGGACGTCTTTAAGCTTGTTGAGCTTCGTAGCTTCCTCGATAGGTACTGCGGGTAAGCGGCCGCCATCCGCTGTCAAAATCACGGGATCTTGCGCGGTAACGAAACGCGCCTCAACAGCTTGGGTTGAGCCGGTTGTATCGTTCTCCTGGTCTGGCGCATACTGTCCAAGGCGTTCGGCTTGTTTTGCAAACTCGACGGCTGCTTGTGCTTTGGTTTTTGTCTTGTCGGTTGCTTCATGAAGCTTGTGCCTGACGGTTGTTGTTGTCGCCATATCGTATCGAGATGTCAGAATTAATGTGACGACGATCTGTGGAGAAACGTCTGCTGGTGGAGCAGTCGCGGGGCAGACGATGTGGACAAAAGATGGGCACCCTGTAGGTTAACATCAATTGGACTTCTGCACGAGGATGCAGGTATAAACAAAGAAAAGAATCAGACATCATGGATGGATATCCGAATCGCAGGGTTGGCGCGTGTGGCTGATGGCCTTGGAGATCAGGGCACCTATCTTGATTGCGAAATGCCGCGAATTTGACAATGACATCAGGGATTTTGAAAAGTCCGCGGACTTTGTCGTGCATGGCAACGAATTAACATCAAATACTACCGCATATGTGCATCTCAACGACAGTCCCAAGCATCGGTAAACGGGTGCGTGATGCAGGGATGGTGCGTTTTTGTAAGTGGCTTGCACATCTGCACAAGGAATGCACTTGATTTGCATGTGATCCCAGTGACTTCTCCAACTCGTGCATCTCCTGCCCAAAATGTGAGAAGCATCCTGAAGCCTGTTTGAATGCAATAGTCATGTTTTGTGTTCGTCAGCCCATGCACTATTGAGAAGAAGGCAATCTCTTGAGGGTCAACAGACATCCAAAGCTTCCCACCAGAGAAAGTCGGTCGTATTCCATAGTCATTCATAGTCAACCCCATTGTCAAGTCGCTAAATTCAAACAGTCGGAGACGCATCTCTGGTCCTTGAATTAATCCATGTTTTCCCGCCATATGTCCAGATCGCCAGTACATGCGCATCTAAATATACCTTTGGAACAATGGAGGAGTACCAAATCCGAAATGTGGGCGCTAGACCTGATACCCGTGCGAGACATCGAAAGACCTGCTGTTGCTTGCAGCCTCGAGATGATAGTCGGTTCTGGGACGGCAAAAGGGAACTTCAAATGCATGTATGTTGCAACAGTCGCTCACAGCGAGTGGATATACTGTTCAAAATTGACCGTGGCGCCAGCCCAATGCATAGATATCTTGACACACCAATATACAATCCTCCTCCGGCCTCTCAACTGCGCGTTTACTTCCTTGCGGCGACAGCTTGCTGGACAGCTGCCGCTGTCCCGGCAGGTTGCTGCGATCGTACGATGGGCTCGTCGGGTACAATAACATCTTCGAACTCGTCCTGGGAGATGGCGTTGATGGTGTATGTGTCTGCCAACTGTAAGCCGATATCGTGCGCAAGACTGTCGCAGACGTACAGATTCCAACGACGAGAGAGCAGATTGCGAACCCGGTGATGGTGTTCTTCAAAAGGTACGGCGCACGAGCACGCAGCAACGCCGGCGAGGCGCGCATGCGGGCATCGTAGTAAGTCGACTGGAATGGTTTGCTGCACATGTCAGCGCTGTCCTGCGCTTCAGAATTGTCCCTACTCACTATCCCATGGTGGCGTGGTGAGCCTCTGCGATCTTGCGGGGAAAGTTGATGATTCGCCGCGGTGGTGAGAGGCTCCTTCCGCATCGTTTGCTTGGCGTCGCCGTTCACCCTGCAGCGTCGATCTGCAGCTATCCATCATCAACTCCCCCAAACCAAACCAGTAGACAACACCACCGACACACGCGCCCATTCGCTTCACCCCGCTCCTTCTACTTTTTGATCACTAGCTTTGCAGGGAATGAGAGGACTGGATACAGCAGGCTCTGGGCTTTGTCGCGCAATAGTTTGACTGCGTCGCGCGCGTGAACAAGCGTCACCATTGTGCACAACCTCACTACAGGAAACGAAGCCTGTTTCTCGTGCACTGCGTCTTCACCACCACCATGAGTCCAATTCAGCAGCTGCAATCAGCCCGGGCGCTCGCGTTAGGCGACGGTAGATATTATCCTACCATTATACCAGGCGTGCTGCCCATCATAAGCTTCAGTGCAGACCAGAGCCTCGAGGTGCAACGATGGGGTGCTGATTTCCTGGCTGAAGCTTTTGCATCACCAGCGTGGCCATCAGACGTGAAGGAGAACAGTGCGCCATCAGTCCTGGCTACGCTGAAAGATTACCTGGAGAATGTTGACGACAAGAGCGTCGTCAAGAGCTCCGTACAAGCGGCTGCCAGTGTGTACCCGCTTGTCTACAGACATACGTGAGTGGAACCCTTCGAACCTCAGATAGCCTTACCCTTCATCATGAGTGCAATGCGCGTTGTACGCTCACCCTCGAATGCCCGTACACGCTTGATTGCGCTTCTGTCGAATCCTGTCTTATACTTGCGTGCACCAGTGTCAACAACGCCAACAATGCCCAAAACTGGCAGCTCATGTCAGCTATCAAATCGAATATTTTGCGACGAATGGACTCGGCCCCGCCGGGCGTGCGCGTGTGCTGCGTCAAGTTCCTCCAGCAGGTCGTTTTAGTACAGACACCAGGCGTGGTCGACCCAAGGGTGAACAGCCTCAGCCCTCAGCAACGTATGACGCATGCTCACAGCTCGCAGCGACCTGACTACAGCGATATCTCGCTCGCCCTCGTACCCCGCGATCACCCCCTCATACCATACGTGAGCCTCGAGGCAGAAGGGCATGGACTGCTCGACCGATTGTTGGACATAATACATGGAGATCACAGGTCAGAGAGACAAATCCAGGATCAAAGCATAGCTCTGACGTAGAATAGTGATGGTCTGCTCGTCACAGCGACGCTGAACACACTGGGCGTGCTGATGCACCGAAGACCAATTGCCGCCAACAAGATACTGACCAGCATCTTCAATTTCAACCCCTTGAAGCTTGCCAATTCACCCCTGACGCCCAAGAACAAAGTCATCATGAAGTCGATCGAGCGCACAACGAGATCGCTGCTAATGAACATCATGAAGAGGTACGCTCCCGATTTCATCGAATGCTTGTAGACCCGACATTCACACTATACAGGGACCCCCAGAATCCCATCAACGGGCGGATACAGCAGTTCCTCGAACGTATGCACCGTATGCGTGTCGAGATGGTTGACGAGGTCAATCGCAAGCGACCAGCTCCCAGCGAACCGACTGACGGTCTTGATCAAGCTAAGAGGCAGCGAGTAGCTGCAGGTGCTCCTTCTGCCGTGACTCAAGATAACATGCCTGTTGCACCACCATTGCCTCCAGGTCCCGTCAGCTGGCGTCAACTGTTCACACTGAACCCCGAAGGCAGTACGGTGAACTTCGATGTGCAAGCCTTCCGAGACCCAGAACAGCTGGTGAGGATACTTGTACCCGTACTGCAGTCAGTGGACCAAGTTAAGCTGGGCCATGCTATGAACGTACGTTGCCTTGCATCCCCCCCCCCCAATGCTGAATGCCGCTGCTGCTTTGAGAGTCTTTCAATATCTACGGCGTGAATTCTCACGTTGTCACATGAATCTGCGAATGGCCTGCCAGTGCGACAGCGGTCATTTATACGCACACCAAATTTCAAGATGTTGGCTAACGTAAACGCAGATCGTCCGCTCTCGGTACTTGAGTCTCAGTCAAGCTACTCGTGCTGCTCAACCCGCAGCTCCTGCAGCAGAAGACGAAGAAGAGTACGAACCTGACTTCGAGCCTGAAGATGCAGAGCAAATCAACAACAAGCTCGACGGTCTCTCACCCACCAATCAAGCATTTCAACCAGGACCATCTACATCGCTAGCGCCGTACAAGCTTCCCGAGGCACCTCCGTTGTCAAAACAAGAAGTCCAGAAGTACGGTGACATGACAGTATACCGAGCGTTCGGCATGCTCAGCAGCGTTGATGACACACAGAAGAGCAAGGTTGCCAAGGGTGGATTTAATAGACTAGCAGCAAGTGATTATGGCCGCGACGCGTGGGTAACGATACTCTCACGGTTAGCCACACGAGCCAGCGCTGGCCTCGAAGACCTCCAAGAAGGCATCAAAGACGAGCACGCCGTTAGTAACTCGAAAGGAGGCTTCAGCATCAGCGACACCGTACGAGACGGCATGTACAACTACATCATCTCTGACTGGAAGAAACGCATCGATGTCGCTACTCTTTGGCTGAACGAAGAATGGTACAACGATACCATACTCGCTCAATCGAAGGATGTTCCCACCAACGGCACCGTTAGTGGCGACACTTTCACGTCTGTGCTCAATACACTAAACGGCAATTACCAACGCTGCGCACTCCGCCTGATTGACGGTATCCTGCCGTACGTCGAGCACACAGATAAGATTATATTGCGCTTCCTCTCCGAGGTACCTGCTCTAAATTACGAAATCTTGATCCGCTTGAAGAAGATGGCTGAAGATCCGGAGCGTATCGATCTGGCATGTAGTGCATTGCACTACCTCTACATATTCAGGCCGCCGGTCCGGGATATCGTTGTCAACGTGCTCACCGAGATCTACCAGACGAACGATCGCGCAAGACCAAGCGCGAAGAAGCTGCTGGCCAGGTGGAAGCCAGAAGTTCTGGGTGAAGAGGCTGCGCCGCCGGTCAAGGCGGAGGGTGAGCAGATCGCAAAGGAAAGTGCGAATGTGGTGTTGGAGGTTAAGGCCGCCTCATAGAACTGGGGAAATCATGATGATCTGAACACAAGAGCAATGGCGGAGAGATGAAGAAGACTGCTTTTCAACATACGTATATTCAAAAGGTTTGCTTCGGCACATGGAGCGATGTATCACGGTATGGCGTGGCGGATGCATGGGCGGATGCATGGGCGGCGAGCGGTGCATTCATTTATCCTTTCCTATCTGATGTTCGTGGTATACGAGCCTGTTTGCAGCCGCCAGCGAAGCGTCACTCTCCTCTTCATTTTGCAGCATGCCATTCGCCGCGAGAGAACCGACTTTGAAACCTTCGTCAAGCGCAGAAGAGGTCACGATCTCGATTCTAGGCACCTCGAAAGTTCCTCGCGGAACCTTCATGCCGGCGGAGCTCTGCTTGAAACCTATGGTGTTCAAGACGAAGGAAAGCATGAACACAAATGGTACCACGGCGAATACCTGTCACAAGGTAGGGTAGAGATACCCGAAGGTGCAATGACGCTAACCACATTGAAAGATCTGGAAGTCCATGACCTTTACCGATTCTATCCTGATTTTGATGTCGAAACGGAAAAGCTGAAACTCTGCATTCGCGTCCTTGGACCCCGTCAAAAGTTCAATCGTGAAAATTCCGGGATACCGCGTTGAAGTCCCCAGCACAGAAGAAGTGGAACTCGCTGCCTCCCTCGCCAAAGGATGTTGTATCAATCTCAGGTTTCGCCCTGTGCTTTTCGCAAGCCTGCTCTCACTCAACCCTCGACGTCTCATGGAGCGCAGGATTCTGGACAAGTTCGACAAGATTCGTTGGGGTAAGAGCCGTCCCATGTACAGCCAATATGACAGTACTGACCATGACAAGTATGGGGCTCAATATCGAACAATATGTTGAGTCTTCTGAAACGGCATCGCCTGAAGTGCCTGAGAACAAGCAATTCGTCGCGAGAATGCATGATCTACAGTGCCGTCAGCAAATGCTTGATAGTATCTACATGCGTGCTATCGAGAAGAAAAAGAAGTCAGACACTGATGTCACACAAGCATTGGAGCGGATGCAGAGTGAGTCTTGACGATGAAATGCAAACAGTCTGATCCAAACTGACTTGACAGTTTCACCACCCCAACCAGACCAAGGCCAAGCAAGCACGAATCTCACTTTAGACTTGAAGGTTGTGAGCAAGGACTACGACTTGGGCCCAAAGGTCACTAAAACTCTACCTCGAAAGATCAATGTCGTTCAGACAAGAGCGATACATCAAATATACGTCAGTGCGTCAGAATGCGATGTTGAGAAAGACAGAGCATTCCAACAGGTCACCCAGTATGCCGAGAACAGTGGACCATGGTAGGTCTTTCCAAGCACTACTCTCTGTTAGCACACTGATGCATGGTAGCCCCGCGTGCAATTGAACAGTTAGTCCAGCCTGCCTGCGCGAAGGCTGCTTCAGTTGGTGTAACAAGCACAACAGGGTGGTGGTCCGAAAGAACCGGTGTTCTGGATATGACTGAAAAGTAACGAGTATCGAAGGGAGGTGTTGTTACGTATCGAGTGTGAGCTTGCTTCGAGGCGGGTCGTACGTCTGAAGATACTATCAAACTGTGCTTTGTCGAATACAATGTCCCTTTATCATGCAGCAATTGAGGATAGTTTGCCGTCATTCCATATGCATCATTCATACAAACCCAGCAGGTCTTTAGTTCACTGGTATTCTTCCTCCTTCATTTGCCCTGCTTCTGCGCCTCAATCTCAGCCACTCGAGCCTCGGCAGTCTCCTTAGTATAGCTCCGTCCATCCATCTCCTTGTAGTTCAAATTGTCTAACTCCACGTCCTCGAAGAGTCTGATGTTAACGATGCTCGTGTTGTCGAAGAAGCCGGGCCGGATGCTGCGCGCCATGCATGAGCTGCCGCAGGTGGGACAGAAGTAGTGCGCGACGGAGTGGGTGGCGAAGGTGTAACTCTATCACGCATTAACAACATCCTTTAATTTCACAAAGAGTGAAAGGAGAGGATTGAGATGGCTTGAACGCGGGAGAACAAGAGGGATCGGTAAGGGGCAGAGGTGTCGTACCTTGAAGTCCTCGAATTGGCCGGAAGTGAATGTGATTTGATCGTTTGGTACGTAGAGGAAAAGGTAGCCATTTCGCAGGCAGATGCTGCAGTTACAGCGTACGACTTCGGTAGTTGCGTCGTGAAGGGAAGCAGTTGTTACGTTGTACGCGAATGCGCCGCAGTGGCAGGACGCTTTGTAGGCTTGGGTTGGCGCCTTGGTGTCGGACATGTTGATTTGTGATGCTCAAGGAGAGAATGTGGACTTAGAGAAGATTGTAAGCCTGGATTCCGAAAGCAACGAAGTACATCGATTGAGTGTCACTTATGTTGCTGCCTGAGATTCAATTAATATACGCCCACTTCATGTTTTCTTACTCGCATGGTTTTCCGCTTTGAGGTGTCGAAGTTCCAGATTCTTCTCGCGTGGAACTCCACATATGCGGGCCGAAGGCCACCTACCGTAACCAACCAGAACGCGCTGGGCTTACGCGTGGTGTACGCGAAGTCATCTGAGGAGGCAGCTCTCTATTCTCTAAATGGCTGTCTTGATGCCTGAGTCACAAATGCATACGAACCGCCAGAAATTGCTGTATTGGGAATCAGTGCAGCCGGGAACTGGTATCTGATGCCAACTTGCGCTCCCATTGTTGTTAGGCAGGATGATTGTTGACGATTAGGGTGACCTGTAAGAATCGCCGCGTTAGACCTCGAGGTGTACAATCTCTACTTGGTCCACTTCAGACCCAACTTGTGCATCTCAACGGCAAGCTGGAGAATGTAGTCGATACTCTCGCACTGCGTCTTCGCCTTGTGAACATTGTCACCCCAAACATATCTGCCCATGTTAGCACACCTCTCCCAATCTCACCACAGCCCAGGAGTACTTACATCCCATGTCTCCTAACCAGAATCGCATACGAATCCGGATACTTCTCCATCGCTTCCTCCAGACTCTCCCTCAAATCCTCCTCATGCGCCGTGTTCTCAATAATCGGTATTCTCAACTTATCGTAGTACCCAAGATTGCCTTGCTTGCCGCGCCCTTTCGGTATTCCCTTGATCTGCTCAATCTCCTCGATTTCGAAGCAAGCATCTTTGCCGAAGTCGCGGTCGACGAGCAGCGTGACGAGGACGGCCCACTGCGAGTGTGTGTGGATGCAGCAGCCAGCGCCACGCTCGAAGGCGGCCATGAAGAGGGGTGTGCAGGCCGAGGGCTTGAGGACCTGGGTAGGAAGTTAGTTTGTAAAACCAGGCGAATCAAAAGTGCAGTGGGCATTTAGGTAGATGTACCTGTGGTCTTCGAAGGTATTCTTTGCTGTTGAAGTCCATGACGAACATATCGGTTGGCTTCATGAGCTCTTTCTGCACACCACTGGGTGCGATGTAGATCTTGTCTTCATGACGAATGCTTGTACCCCCTCCCGTACCTGTGACCTGGTAGTTTCTTCATGTTAGCAGTCACATCAAGCTCACTGCATCAACTCTCTCCCCAGATTGGTACACCATACCCATCCCAAGGTGTAGAAGTGCGCGCAAAGCGTGCAGATGTGGTTTGCTGGGTGATGTGGATCGTCAGAGTGAATGAGCGCTTCCGCATCTTGCGAATTGGATGCCATCCTGGATTTGTTGTGATTAAAGTGTGCTTTGAGAGATTCAAAACTCTTTGGAGCAGGATGACGCGATGCCGCTTCCTCGACCCCCACGTGGTCCCTGCCCCGCCGCGGGGTGATGCTCCTAGTCAGGCACTCGATCATAATCACATGTGAAAAGCTGAAGTGAACAAGAATTCGCTCGATTTATGGCTATACATCAACCCTATGGGGCTCGTAAGAGGGTTTGGGTATCATGAGACTCCTCCATCCGCACAGTTACCGCCTGTCTATCATCGTCGTTGTAGCTTTCTTCGAAGCGTGGGGTATCATCGTGTATCTCCTGCGCCACCTGCGATCGTGTCGCCATGGAGGACGGTGGTATCCTGCGCCAGAGGAGATGATTCGTGCTTCTTGTCCTTGTCAAGATGAAGCGCGTGCTTGATCTTGTCACCAAGACCCTGGCGATCAGGCGACTTGGTGTGTCCTCCATGCTTCTCCTTGTAGACGTTGCCAGCACCGCCGCGCTATATAACAGTCAGTCTGAACCCGGATGTAGGTAGAGCCTTCAGCACGTACGCCTGTGTGGAACTCCTCCTGAGGTTCACGGGTCGCGAGCTCAGGGACGACGTCAGTAGAACGACGAGAACTATCGACGACCTGCGGTCCAAGGCGAGGCGATTTGCCTATGTTGCCAGCACCTCCACGGCCAGTGGAGAACTCGTTGGCTGTAGACTCGCCCTGCGGTCCTTCGCGCGTGATAGCTCCATCCGCGTAAACGGTGTCATCCCGACCGATGTTACCGGCGCCTAATGCTAATCAGTGTTATGCTCAAAGCAAAGGTTGCCATGTCGGATGCGATTGTACCTCCACGGCCTGTAGAATGAATTGGTGTGGTAGACATGTTGGCTTGCTATTAGGTCTGTTGCAAAAGAAGGAAGCGTACTTTGTCACGATATTAGACAATGTGGTGTATCTGGGACCTAGCGAACAGCGGACTGGATGTGACCGCTAAGTCTTATATTTGCTCTTTCGTTGCGCCGTTACATTCCAACAAATGACGCAACCACATCTGGCGCAGCTCCAGGGCAGTACCAGCCATTCAACGCGGGATGAGAGGGGCTTCCAAGTCGAGAGATGCCGCCATGTTCGTTAGTCTGAGCAGTTGAACCAAATGAGCAGTCAGGCCAAGGTAAAAGCGAGCATGTGGGAAAGATATCTGGACAGTTCCCTGATTGCGCCGGTACAGTTGTGTGATGGCGTGAGGTGATGCTTTCGCCTGTGAGATAAGGAGGGTTCGGATGATAGGCTAAGATTGTGACTAAGCTGCGTGTATCCTGGAGCATCCCACTGTTTCGACAAGGCAGACCACTTGCGAAGATAGTAACCGGAGGTGCGGAGCGGTTGATCTACAGGTGATGTCAAGGATCGTTACCAGGCTTTGGCGAAGCACGAGGTGATCTGACAGTTGCCACCCCTAAGGCAGGGACAAGTCAATGGCTCGCATAAGGCTGGCACCCGCGAGCCTCAATACGCAGACGTTCCATTCTCAACTTTCGGTAGCACGTCCCAGACAGAAGCGCAGACGAAAAGCAGAAGGTTGTTCGAGCAGCTGCTGGTGAGCCGTACTGTGGAGGCAATCGACTACGTCATTATACAGCTCTGATGTGAAAGCACCAAATCGAGAGCAAAACAAATCGCGGGTATCGAACAAACCTACAATGAGAGTAACCATAATAACGACCTTAGGAGATCCTTAAACCTTCCTCATCGCTCGGTCTTCCGGCACGACCCTCCTTCGCACCTCTATCTTGCACCTTGCTTTGATCTGCATGCTTCGCCGGATCGAAGACGTATATTGGAAACTCAAAGAAGATGGTCCTCTTCAAAAGGACCGGCATCTTTTCGTATAGCTGCGGTGGGTACGGAATCAGGATACTCGTCCTGTTCAACCACCGCGCGTATTCCGGCCAGTTGTTTCCCTTCTCATACCTTTCCTTTGCCCCTGGCCGCTCCTGTAGAGTCAAGCCTGACACAAACATGAGCAGCAAGGTCAAGAAGAAGGGACCTAGAATCGAGGCGTATAGAGCAGAGTAGGCACCACCTGAAACGTAATTGTATGCAGCAGGCGATACAGCAATCGTGAACATGACAAACTGGATGATCATCTCTCCAAAGCAGTTTGGATGTCTCGTCAAGGCAAACAGGCCAGTGTCACAGACCGCGCCGTCTTGTTGGTGAGCGCTCCGGAATCGGTACTTCTAGATATCGGACACACTCTCCATAAGAAAGCCAATGGAGTAAAGAATGATACCGGCAATGTCTCTTCCAGTGCCGAAGGCAGGATGAGGGAATTGCGTGATGTTTGGCGCATTGAGAATCGTGACTGGCAAAGAACAGGTCCGCACCCAGAACATTTGCCTAGAATCTGTTAGTCTGATCCAGAACGCCAAACGTCAGCCTGGAGGCATTCAAAACTCACAATACCCAGAGATCCAAGAAGGACCAGAATTTGACTCTCTTGTCGTCAAAGCGATCGTCTTTTCCTGTCTTCGGGACTCTGAACAGCAAGAATCCGCTCAGACGTGCTCCCCATACCATCATGAAGACCGAGACAGCAGTGTTGCATGCATCGCCTCTGTTCTCGCTAAGGCTAAGAGTGAGAATAGAGAGTACGACGAAGTTGGTGCCGCCGGCGAAGTCGGTAAGTTTGTCAAACTTCAAAGAAAATGCGATCGCAAAGAAGAAGAGCTGATAGACAACCGTGATGAGGAAAGTGATCGCGAGGTAGTAGTTGTCTAGCACATGAATAGCCATGTTGCTGATGTGTCGACAAGGATTGGCAAATTTCTAGCTCGCTGTGATGTAGAGGTGCTTTCAACATGAACATTTCAGGAAGCAGAGGCATTGTAGCCGTTCAGTCGCTGCCGCTGCACCCCGAAGCTAACGGTTGCGTTGTCAAGTCAGCCCGACTCCGCTTGCTGTGCGTAGACCATTCTGAGATGAATTTGCGACTTAGTTAAGGAAGTCGGTAACGACATTGAGGTGTTCGAATCGCCAAGCAGGCACGATCGACCTTCGGCCCGTTCTTTGGCGCTCTCCCTCCATCAGCCAAACAACAACGGCGGTGCATCACGAACATCACTGGGCCACAAACAGCCTTAGAGGCATTTGCCATGGCGAATTCGGCAGCGGCATGTATGCGTGGAGATACAGTTCTGATCTGCCCGAGCGCAGCGACAATGAGGTGAAGACATCCAGGTGATCGTGAAACGCAACCAGTGTTAGGCGCGTCGCCTCGTGCAAGTCGCGTCTCAGACCTCACCACCATCGCCGCTGGCCAGACCATCATGAAGCTCAAAATCCTTCAGAACGGCCTTTTCGAGGCCTGTCAGTCTGAATCGCACGCGTTCTGTCCTGTGGCAAACCCTCTTGGCCACGTCCTCCTGGCAATGCGATCCCATTTAACACGGTCCTTTCATCCTAGGACGCAGACTACACCCCTGAGACACGCGAGCAGCCGTACAAGTAGCCGCGTGGAATGACCTGCTCGAAACCCATCACATTCTTAGAAACAGAATGAGCGGGGCGTGCATCGGATTCCCCAAGTACCATTGTTTCCACCTCAGGTGTCGACCTTTTGAAGGTTTGGAATCGCCATACCGGAACCTCACGTTCGGTTTGATCCGAGATACCTGTCTTCTTGCGCGTCCCGCCTTTTCCCCCCTCCACACTCCTCTTGACACTCTGCTGCGCAGGTCTTGAACGAGTCTGCATGTCTGTGACAGCCTTTACGACTCCATACCAGCTGTGCTGTTGATATATTAATCTTAATTTTCTACCTCTAGTCTTTCAGCCTTGTTTCTCGGAGCCTCTCATCATCAAATCATCATCATGAAGACATCCAAGTCCCCTCTGTGCTTGGCCTTCCTACTGATCAATGCTGTACGTGGTGTCCGACAGACCTCAACACAGGAACACTAACATGCTATAGGTTGTCGCGGAAGCTGGAGTTGATCTCCACAGTAGTAATGTCGGGCAAGAAGTCAGCGGAAGGAAGATTGAGAATCTCATCTCTGGGGTTGATAGGTCAACAAACAGTGTTGCGGAACTGGATATATCTGCCATCAACGACGTTCGACGTAGCGCCAACGCCAACACACTGGATAACGCCGACCTCGTTAACAAGATCGCTCAACTGGATATTGGTTCTCTCCTCAATGCCGGCGCACAGGGACAGGGCGCTAGCCAGGGTCAGAGTCAAGGACAGAGCCAACAGCAAGGTCAGGGTCAAGCGCAACCTCAGGGTCAAAGTCAGGGACTGAAGCCCGTGGGCCCCAGCGATATCAACACCAGCAACGTTGGCGCCGATCTTGCGAACCAGGTCGCTGCAGGGAACAGACCTACTGTCGGCACAGGAGACATCAATACAAGTAACGTCGGTGCAGATCTCGCAAACCAAGTCGCTGGATTTGGTACCACACCTGCCGCACAAGGCCAAGCTCCTGACCAAGCGCCAGGTGCCGGACAAGCACAGCCTGCTCCACAAGCCCAAGCCGCTAAAGCTCCTCGACCAGCTGCAGAGTCCCAGCCTGTAGCTGAGGCTCGCCCCTCGACTGGAGCACAAGCAGCTGCAGAAGCTCAACCAAGCCGACAAGGCCAGAGCCAGGGAACGAGGCCTGCAGGACCGAGCGACATCACCACCAGCAACATTGCTGGTGATCTTGCAAATCAGCTTGCTCCTGGATCGGGCGTCAATGGCCAGCGTCCAGCGAGCAACGATGTTGCAGGGGATCTTGCGAACCAGATCGCTGGAGGAGGTGTTGCTCCAATCGGACAGGGCCAATCGAGCCCTCAAGGCCAGGGCCAGGTAGCTGCTGCACAGAGTGGTGGTGCTGGCGCGGCAATCATCGAAGTCAAGTCGACTATCCTCCAGGAGGCTAACGGCCAGCAGATAGCGACAGCCGTTATTGAGCAGCAGAGACAAGGACAGCAACCCGCAGCAGCGCCAGCACCGACCGAAGCGCCCGCAATAACAACTCCTCAGGCTCTGGCTGCTCCTGCAGAAGCCAAACCTACTGAAGCACCAGCAGCAATGCCTGTCTCGGCCGAGCCTCAAAGCAAATCGACAGCTGTTGAGGCAGCGGCGAAACCCGAGACCCAGCCAACTCAACCTCCTGCGGAGGGCATGAGCGCGATGGTAGGTAAATGACTGCCAAATAGTTTACTTGTGCTAATATGAGACACAGACCTCCGCGCCAGCTGCTCCTGGCACAATCACTGAAGTTGCTGAAGGTGGTAAACCCACTGCATCGGCAGGAGAGGCTCTCAAACCAGCGGGAGAGGCATCTAAACCAGCTGAGGGATCATCCGCACCAAGTGGTGCCAACGCTGCTGCTGCTCCTGCTGCCTCGCCCGTGACAGTCGTCGCTGGAGGCTCACCCGCTCCTGGAGTCCAGGCCGCAGCTCAGTCATCATCATCCGCCGCTCCTCCTCCTGTTGATTCTGCCAAACTGACCGCAGATGCTCTCGTGGCCTCAACTACTGTTACAGCAGCAGGTAACCCAGTCACCGTACAGGCAGGCTCAGGCGGAGGCAGCAGCGCAACGAGCTCAGCCAGTGCAGCCCAAGCCAATGGAGCTACAGCAGCAGCTGTCACAGTCCTAGCAGGAAGCGGAAACAACTCAACAAGCTCAGTCAGCGGCGCAGCAGCCGCTGCTGTCACCGTCGTTGCAGGATCAGGGTCAGGCTCATCAAACTCCAGCAGCGCAACCGCCGCTGGTGCTGCTGCCGCAGTGACCGTCGTCGCGGGTGGTGGAGCAGGAAACGGCACTGCCAACGCAGCAGTGACGTCCTCATCAAGCGCAGCCGCTTCTGTCAACTCTGCAACCCTCACTCCTGACGCCCTTGTTGCGACCTCCACCACAACCGCCGCGGCAGCAGCAGTAACCGTTGTCGCTGGCTCAGGAGGCAACGCCAATGCTGAAGCCGCCGCAGCGAACGGTGGATGCAACTGCGCATGCATGTGTCCCGCCGGCTCATTCCCCATGTCCGCTCCCCAGGCTCAACCCTTCCAGCTGGGCTCCATGAGCGCAAGCTCCGGCGCGAGCACGATGAAGACGATGGCCTCCGCAATCACCGTTGTAGCGGGGCCAGCACCACCAGGCGCACAACAAGCCGTTGCCTCGTCAAGCAGCTCGACTGTGAGCGTAAACTCCGCAACCCTGACCACCGCTGGTCTCCTCGTAGGGTCCGCAGCAGCACCAGCCGGGCCCGGCGTGACTATGATCGCGTCCGGTAACACAGCGATTTCTGCATCCGCGTCAGCAGCTACAAGCGCAGCGTCCTCGGCGTCAAGCCCTGCGGGTAACCAGGCCGCTGCCCCAGCACTACCTGTTGAGTCGAGTGCGCCGAGCAGCCCGACGAGCGTACCGGCGCAGAGTGCCGTCGCGGGTACTACGACGAGCGCCGCGCTGCCGGACAGCACGGCGAGCTTGCAGCAGAATCAGGCGCTGCCGTTCGATATCTCGACGGTTGCGCTGCAGAGTCGGGTTACAGTGAATTTGGGGAAGAGGTTGGCGAAGCCGACGGAGGCGGCGAGGAGGTGGCTGTGGTGAGATGTTTGTTTGTAACACCCTTGGATCCTTTCGTTTCTGTGTTTATAAGTAAGGTGTGCAAAGCATTGACTGCTTTGGACGTTAGTATATCACAAACTGGACACCCATTTGTTACACCTCGTGGGTGTTCGTAGTGTCGTGACTTGAATCGTTGATCTATTGGGTATCATTGTAATTTCCTTCTTTCATCTCCCTTGTGCAGCTTAGGCGGCCTCCTGAGCTGCAGCTGCCGCTTCCAGGTTTGCCTTTTTGACTCGCTTCTGCTCACGTTTGGGTACCTGCTTGGGCTCCGTCCGGCGCGCAGGTGCACTCTCCAAAGTCTCGCCTGGTCTCTTTTCATTCTGATTTTTCGCCTTGCTCTTGCCGTCTTGCTTGTCTTTTGATATGGAAACTGGCTTCTCTCCTCCGTACACAATGTCGACTACGCCTTTGAAGCTCTGGCGCTTCAACCGCGCATGCTCAACAACACTGCGCGGTTCCTTCGTCAGACCGTCCTTGCCCCTCTCAGACCCCAGTCCCCATACAGAAGCCAGATTGATAACGTCGCTCGGCGCGCGAATGCCTAACACACTCTTTGCTTCTGAGCTGAAGATCAATCCTCGACCTCGCGTGACTCGAATAAGCTGTGTCGCATTGCTGATCAGATTGCGCTTCGCTTGTGGATCGCTCGAGAGTATGCCCTGGCTATAGCAGAGCTCGATCTTGATCCCGCGCGCAATCGCGGCGCCCAACATGGGGAACTTGAAGTGCTTCTCGAACCGGCGCGTCAGGTCTAGCGAGATGATGTCGACGTCGAGGCTGTGGCATGCTTGCTGGAGGGTGCGCTCGTCGGTTGGTCGCGCAGCCACGAGGTCATAGTGTTGTTGCAGTTGTGGGATGCGGAAATTCGAGGCGCTGTCAGTGAGGAAGATGTTGCATCGTCGCAGTACGCGCAGGCGTTGGGGGACGGGAAACGACAGTGGGTTTGGTACTGGCGACGTCTGGTGGGCCTATTGTTAGCAGCACGTCTTGGTCGCCATGGCTCTATGCAGCTCCAAGGAAGGCGCAAGACAGGCTCAGGGAAAGCGCAACCTTTGGATCGAGGCGGGGGGTTTCTGCTGGAAGGAAGGAGCGGTGTATGTCACGTACCAATTCGCTCGGCAGCTTCCCACTATATGTATGGGTGAGGGCAACTACGTCGTATCCTACTACACAAGTCAGTCACCACCTCATATGCGCGCAAGGGCGCCGAGTCTGCGTACATTCGTCCAAGAAAGCAACTGTACGCTGCAGTTCCCTCACAGCGTCAGCGCCCGCGCCCGGCCACGGTACGTTCAGATCGTGGAACATTGTCAGTATGGGCGATTCTGCTTTCGAAGATATTCGCAGCACGAAGGGTGAGCAGGAAAGTCCTGGGGAGCGCCCGGCATGGAAAATGCTTGCTTACATAACGCCTGACCAGGATTGCCTTGTGGTTCCGCTGCGGCACACCCAGACGCTCACCACCATCCCCGCACCCAGTTAAATCTCGATCTCTCCGCGCAGCCAGCCAAGTCCCAGCCGGCTGTTGCAGCACCACGACCGCGCCGCGACAACACCCACCCTGGGCGCATATCTTGGAACAAGGCAGCTGCGTTCGGCCTGCTGAGTGTCGGCCTTGCTTGCCTGTGTCTGCGTCTGTTTCCCGCCAACCTCCGCCTCTTCACCCCACCACTCGACCGCGTCACCAACACCACCACACTCGCTGCACCCCAGACAGTCGCTGCCTCGTCGCCGACTGTCACCGCCAATCTGGCAGCCACCAAGATGACGACCAACAGCAGCGGCGCGAGCATTGCTCGCGTCTATGCCGACGTCAATGCCAACATGCCCCGCTCATATTGGGACTACGACTCCGTCAACATCTCGTGGGGCGTGCTTGAGAACTACGAGGTTGTCCGCAAGATTGGCCGCGGAAAGTACTCGGAGGTGTTCGAGGGCATTAACGTGGTCAACTACCAGAAGTGCGTTATCAAGGTGCTGAAGCCAGTCAAGAAGAAGAAGATAAAGCGCGAGATCAAGATTCTTCAGAACCTGTCTGGTGGACCCAACATCGTTTCGCTTCTGGATGTGGTGCGCGACAACCAGGTCAGTAATGATTCTGAAGAAGACTGCATGAGCGACCGCACGGTATTGTGCCTCGCCCGCTGTCGCGTGCTGGGTGGACTGCTAATGTGTGAGGTCTAGAGCAAAACACCGTCGTTGGTCTTTGAGTATGTCAACAACACCGACTTCAGAAGCCTCTACCCCAAGTTCCAGGACTACGACGTACGGTACTACATCTTCGAGCTGCTCAAGGCCCTGGACTTCTGCCATAGCAAAGGCATCATGCACCGTGATGTCAAGCCTCATAACGTCATGATCGATCATGAGAAGCGCAAGGTAAGACTGCTCCAATGATAGGAAAGGAGAATTGCTGATTACCTGCAGTTGCGCTTGATCGATTGGGGTCTCGCTGAATTCTACCACGCCGGGACCGAGTACAACGTCCGCGTTGCCTCGCGATACTTCAAGGGACCTGAGCTGCTTGTGGATTTCCAGGAGTACGACTATTCGCTCGACATGTGGTCATTAGGCGCCATGTTTGCATCGATGATCTTTAGGAGAGAACCATTCTTCCACGGCAACAGCAATTCGGACCAGCTGGTGAAGATTGCTAAGGTGCTTGGAACTGAGGATCTTTTCGACTACCTCGACAAGTACGACATTGAGCTCGATGCTCAGTACGACGACATACTCAGCCGCTACCCTAAGAAGCCTTGGCACTCGTTTATCAATGCCGACAACCAGCGTTTCATCAGCAACGATGCCATTGACTTCCTTGACAAGCTTCTGCGTTACGACCACCAGGTAAGAAACAGTCACCCCTGTGAAGTTTGCGCATACTGACTCAGCCCAGGATCGACTCACGGCCCAAGAGGCGATGGCTCATCCTTACTTTGCCCCTGTTCGACAAGCTGCTCAGCAGAACAGCAGCAGCGCGGCGTGATTGATACCCATTTCAGTACCTAGATCTTGAGTAATGGCATGAGATTCACGAACGAACCGACGCTCGATGTGGCTTATTGACTCTTCATCGTTCTGGCCAACAGCACCTCTCGAATCGATGTCCCAGTGCATATTCAGTCGTACAAGTCGCGGTGGCAGGGCGTACAGGTTTGGTCTGCGGCTGGGCTGGGGCGGTATTCTATTGGAGTATGGAGCGCAGAGTTGGGGGAAGATCCTGTCAATCATGCATTTGAGGGGCGTCAATGTGCTATCAAACATACGAAGACTCATATTGTTCACACTCTTGACTGTTGCGTTGACGCCGTGATGCTTGATGATCGCCCATTGGGTCGGAGTAAAGTTTAGAGCACGGATGCCTGGTAGTGTTCATGCATGCCCGCGGGCAAAGCTAGTGCCTGAACTGTCGACTCACAAAAAAGGTATGCCCCGCAACTGATGCTGCCCCTCGGTCCTATATTGCGTCGACCGCGCTCCCTTCGATTCTCTCTCCCACACTTACGACAACGTTTCCTCCACTTTTTGTATTCGCCTGCGCTACGCAGTGCTCAATTGCGACCACAGCCTTCCACTCTCTACACCGCTGAGCGCGTGCTCTCACACGACTACACCACCGCCACCATGGCGCTCAATGCTGCCTCGCACAATGTCGCCGGCGAGAAGACTGGCCCCACCACCGTTGCTCCTCCTGCCGTTAGCGACGAGAGCAAGAAGGAGCTCCTTGAGGCCGCCAATGCAGACAGCACCGGCCAGTCTGCGCCCGGACGCGAGAACGAGAAGGGCGTAGAGAAGAAGGAGAAGACAGCAAAGGAGCTCGAGAAGGAGCGAAAGAAGGCTGAGAAGGACGCCAAGTTCAAGGCGAAGAAGGCTGCTCAGGCTGGGCCCGCTGCTACGAAGGAGGGTGGTTCTAAGAAAGAGAAGAAGAAGGCCAAAGAGGAGGAACAGCTGCCCGAGTACAAGGAGGAGACACCCAAGGGCGAGAAGAAGCGCCTGAGAAGCCTTGATGACCCACACACAAAGGCCTACGTGCCAAAGGTTGTTGAGTCAGCGTGGTGTGAGTTCAGTCCTTGCCATTGCTTTGCTATGCATGCTGACCTCGAACAGACGACTGGTGGGAGAAGGAGGGCTTCTTCAAGCCTGAGCTCCAGGCCGACGGCACTGTCAAGAGCGCCGGCAACTTCGTCATCCCCATTCCTCCTCCCAACGTTACCGGCAAGCTCCACTGCGGACACGCCCTCGCCACATCACTACAGGATGTCCTGATCAGATGGCATCGTATGCGCGGCTTCACCACCCTCTATCTGCCTGGTTGCGATCATGCAGGTATCGCCACGCAGAGCGTTGTCGAGAAGATGCTTTGGAGGCGCGAGAAGAAGACGAGGTACGACCTCGGTCGCCAGAAGTTCTTGGAGCGCACACACGAGTGGAAGGAAGAGTACCACCAGCATCTCACACACACCCTGAAGCGCATGGGTGGTTCGTTCGACTGGACTCGCGAGGCTTTTACAATGGACAACAACCTGTCTGCAGCCGTGACAGACAGTTTCGTCAAGATGCACGAGGATGGTCTCATTTACAGGTCGAACAGGCTTGTCAACTGGTGCACACAACTCAACACGGCGCTGTCAGCCCTTGAGGTTGACAACAAGGACCTTACAGGCAGGACCGTGCTCACTGTCCCTGGCTACGAGCGCAAGGTCGAGTTCGGTGTCCTGACGCACTTCAAGTATCAGATCGAGGGCAGCGATCAGACCATCGAGGTCGCTACAACTCGTGTTGAGACAATGCTTGGTGATTCCGGTATCGCCGTCCACCCCAAGGACGAGCGTTACAAGCACTTGGTTGGCAAGAAAGCCAAGCACCCCTTCATCGACCGTCTTCTGCCTATTGTCGCCGACGAATACGTTGACCCTGAGTTCGGTACTGGTGCCGTCAAGCTGACACCCGCGCACGATCCCAACGATTTCAACCTCGGAAAGAAGCACAACCTCGAGTTCATTAACATCCTCAACGATAACGGTACTCTGAACAAGAACGCCGGCAAGTTCGAGGGCCAGAAGCGATTCGATGCCCGTTACACCGTTGTTACGGCGCTCGAGGAGGCTGGGCTTTTCGTCAAGAAGGTCGACAATCCGATGAAGGTGCCTATCTGTTCAAGATCTGGAGATGTCATCGAGCCAATCATGAAGCCGCAGTGGTGGATGAAGATGGACGAAATGGCCAAGCCAGCGATTGAGGCTGTCCGAAACGGCGACATCAAGATCCGTCCGGCGAGCTCGGAGAAGACATACATGCACTGGATGAACAACATTCAGGACTGGTGTTTGTCGCGTCAGCTCTGGTGGGGTCACCAGATTCCTGCTTACTACGTCAATATCGAGGGCGGCGAGGGTGACCGTACCGATAACGAGCTCTGGGTCACCGGTCGCACAGAAGAGGAGGCAAACAAGAAGGCTGCGGAGAAGTTTCAGGGCAAGAAGTTCACGCTTGAGCGTGATGAGGACGTACTCGACACATGGTACTCTTCCGGTCTCTGGCCCTTCAGCACGCTCGGCTGGCCTAATGAGGACTCCGTCGACCTCAAGAACCTCTTCCCCACATCCGTCCTTGAGACTGGTTGGGACATTCTGTTCTTCTGGGTTGCTCGCATGATCATGCTTTCGCTCCGCCTGACAGGAAAGGTTCCCTTCAAGGAGGTCTACTGTCACTCGCTGATCCGTGACTCCGAAGGCAGGAAGATGTCAAAGTCTCTTGGAAACGTCATCGACCCTATCGACATCATGGACGGTATTACCCTTGAGAAGCTCCACCAGCAGCTGACTATGGGTAATTTGGACCCCAAGGAATTGAAGACCGCCGAGAAGTACCAGAAGACTTCGTTCCCACAGGGTATCCCCGAGTGCGGTGCGGATGCTCTGCGCATGGCCCTTGTTGGATACACAACTGGTGGTGGCGACATTTCGTTCGACGTCTCTGTCATTCACGGATACAGGAGGTTCTGTAACAAGATCTACCAGGCTACCAAGTACGTTCTTGGTCGTCTGGGCGACTTCCAGCCTCGTGCGCAGATCGAGAAGGGTGGCAACGAGTCGCTCCCTGAGCGCTGGATTCTGCACAAGCTCACCACTTCTGCTAAGAAGATCAACGCTCATCTCGAGGCGCGCGAGTTCTCGCTTGCTACACAGGTTGCTTACAGGTACTTCTACGAGGTAAGTCCATAGATTCCGAAAGTGCCAGGTCCAACATGCTAACGAAACCCAGTTTCTGTGCGACACTTACATCGAGAACAGCAAGGCTATCTTCGACGACGGCAGCGAGGCCGAGAAGGAGAGTGCCAAGCAGACCCTTTACACAGCCATTGAGGGCGGTCTGACCATGATCCACCCCTTCATGCCTTTCCTTACCGAAGAGCTGTGGCAGCGTCTGCCCCGCAGGCAAGGCGACAAGACCCCATCCATCACTGTCGCCTCCTTCCCACAATACAACGAGTCCTTCAACGACGAGAGCGCCGAGGCCGAGTACGAACTCCTCGTTGACGTATCAAGAGCCCTGCGTTCCCTCACCGCCGAGTACGGCTTCAAGGACAACGGTAAGACTTACATCCAGCCTCTCGACGACATCACACACAAGTCACTCCAGGCCACCACATCCCTGCCCTCCATCCGCTCGCTGGCTGGCAAAACCGTCTCCGAGATCACCATCCTCACTCCCTCGGACCCACTCCCTACCGGCTGCGCTGTGTATACCGTCGGCTCGTCTGCGACAGCGTTCCTGGACGTCAAAGGCCATATTGAGGTCGACAAGGAGATCACCAAGGCGCAGGATAGACTCAAAAAGGCGAACGAGACGATCGAGAAGCAGAAGAAGATCATGGATGACGATTGGGAGGAGAAGGTCTCTGATGTTGTTAAGGAGCAGGAGAAGGAGAAGCTTAGGGCGGCGGAGATTGAGGGCAAGAATTGGCAGGCTAGTATTGAGCAGTTTGAGAAGCTCAAGCTGTCTGAGTAGGAGCTTCATGCAGGATATGAGGAGAGAGTAATGTATTAGAATCGGTCTGCAAAAGCAAGTTACACGTTTCATTCATTTCTGTTGTCATTGCGCCTTCTTTGCTCACTTGCTAAGACTCTACGCGAAGTGAAGGGAAGTGCCACACTGGGCCAGTCTTCCGGCTTTTGTAACTTCCACTTTTGACACCTCCACCTTACCGCCGCTTCACACAGAACCTTCAGCCAGAGCGCCGTTTAGCAGCAAGACAATACACTGACAACCTCCTCGACTCCGCTTGCGGGGCAGCGATCGAATCCTCCACCACCGCCACACTCCCACTCGTACCCAGTAAAGCAGTCAAACTTGCTGCTACATCGCCATACAGCAATGCAACGGAATCCTAACAACCTCCTCGACTCTAGTTGCGAAGCATGGATTGAGCGCCATGGATCCAGGAGCTACGCAAGTGTCAAATAGAGCCTCTGTGTTGATACTTCTGCAGTACCTGCCTGAACCAACAATGGTATCTTCTGCTCCACCTGCCAGCATCGATCCCCCTGCTTCGCCTGCCAGCTGAACTGCGCAACAGGATCCTTGAGTTCGCGATCGGTGGCCATGAAAGCAGCATTGACGGGGAACTGGACAACTCATTATTCCTCACCTAGCGATCTCTTAGCCACAATCCCCGAGCACATTGAAACGAATGCAAAATGCATCATTACCTTGAAATGGTCTGTCGCCAGCTGCGTCATAAGACAGCTGACATGTTCTACGCGATGAATACATTCCTAGGTTATGCACAAGGCGTGTCCGTATTCATTGAAAGCTTAGGTAAGAGGATGGACTACCTCCAGGCTATGAGTATCAACACATACGAAAGATTTTTGGATGTCAATGATTTGCTGGTGGGCGGCCCTGTCCTGAATTCAACTCTGTCCAAGGCCTTGCGCGACTTAAGAGGACTCCGTGAGCTCAGGAGAGTTGAGGTCTTTGCATACATGATCAATAAGTGGTATTACATGAAGGAAAGGGTTGCACTTAAGATTAAACAAAAATTTGAGGAGGATATGGTTAGCCGGGATGTTGAGCTGGGTTGGGAACTTACTGAGCTGTGAGGCTGCTGTGGCATACCAGAAAAGGCATGCGTCATACATACGACAGTTCATCGGATCTAACGGACAAGTTAGCTGTCAAGGTCAGTGCTCATCAAAAGAGTAGGCGAAGGCAACAGGAGCTGAGCCAAGTCAGGCGCATAACCACCACTTCCCTCCCACAATTCAATTCCAGCTTCTTTCACTCATCTCTTCAAACCACTCGGATGACACCTCACTGAATTGCTCCAAGGACAGGTTTACCTCTGAAAGTCTCCCAGAATGGACCACAATTGACATGTACGTTAGGGATTTGCATCTCGAGCGTCACTAACGTATTCCGCAGCACTCAGCTCAATCAAAGCAACTCACCTCTTCTGCGTTCTCCAGCGAAGCTAAGCAATAAGGTCTGCTTTTACACCTTCGCTGGCCATGAAATCAGCGTTTATAGAATATAGACCAAAGTCCCGTTCTTCCGCTTCTGACCTTTGAACGATCATGCTGCTGCCTGGAGCTCACGCCCCTTCCAATTCACTCTGCAAACTACTTACCGCCAGCGGCATCATGAAATTGCACAATCTCGGAATCTTTTCTACAGTTTGAACGCTTTCCAAGGCCTTGTACTCGACTTCACTTTGTTTATCAGACGGCCAAGCACCAAAGTGGACCATCTTCAGATGCTACATATCGATGCTCCGTATCTTCCACGCGATGGTAACGCGCCTCTCGACCTCAACGCAATGATACACTGTGTTCTGCACAACCTACGGGACCTACCTGCACCTACAAGCATTGTAGTAATTGGTCAAGAGCAGAAGTCATACGGTCACCCCAAGGACGATGTAGTGAACGAGATCAAGCGTCTATTCCAGCTGAGAAGAGACGGGCGGCAGGAGGTTGAGATCGTATTATCATTTGAAAACCTGCGCTAGCAGATATTGCCTTCACTTTGTTTGTGTACATTGTCACGTCACCGAGCCCCACTTGCCACTGCTGCCGTCCTAGCTCCTTCACCTGCTCTTTACACAACGTCGATACCATTGGGTCTCAGGGAGTCGCGCTATGAATGATTCGTCACATCCTCATTCTGGGTGGTCCCTGCCAGCGTGTCCAACGAGACGTACTACCGTCGGTAATACTGCCACTGTTACGGGCACGTGATCCGTAAGTACGTAGTGTTGAGCTCAGTCGTACAATACCCAGTAAGTAGCAGCCTTGGCAACTGTAGTACTGCCGTAATCTTCATACTCTTGGGATGGTTGTGATGAACTCTCACTTCGCTCACAATTTTTTTTTATATATCCCAACTATATGATGGAAATGTTTTATACCTTAGATAAAACCCATGCCTCAAAGCTCTTCAGTTTCTAAGTAGTCCATAAAGAAACCACTGGTTGTCATGTTGTCTTGTGACCCAGCTCTTTCCTTAGCTTTGTACTTCACTACATCAGCGTTCGGTCGGACCTTCAACACGGCGCCCAACCCCAAGAGATCGCTACTCATCCCACTGCCCGATTATGGGACGTCTAGGGTAACAAAGTTTGTTGCAAATCTCCTTGAAACGATAACTCTAAGCAAACCGGTCGATGCATGGCTCGGTGTTGAATACTCCACTCGTTGTATAATAGTTCCTGAGATGTACAGACCCCTTGAACTTGGTTCACTACTGTGACAGTCTTACGTCACGTAAGAATAAAGGTTTCTAAGTGGTTGTTTCTACCTTGGTTGGCAGAATAGACAGTCTGGTACATGTCCTGCAGGGCAACAACGTGGTGAACGGCCACTCACAAGGCTGTCCGCCCAGATGAACCATGGTACGTACCTACTGTACGCATCACTGTACCAAGCTGAGGGGTTCCGCACATTTTGAAAACCATCGATATAATGGTTGATAATGTTCCAGGGCTTCAGGGTTGGATTCCCCACTAACATGCTCTGCGCTAGGCTAAGACTTGTGCCAAGACTCTACGTGTTGGGGCGCGCCTGCTGTGCCATCCCAGCCATCCCCGTTCCTACCTTATCCATCGCGAACACCTCACTACATTCACACCCACCTAACACACCCACCTAACACACCCACCTAACACACCCACACATGGGCTTATGCGATCACGATTCACGATACAGTCGCCGTCTTCTGAACCTGCTGCCACCCAACCGTCTCCGCGCGCCGCTCGTTTGACTCAGTCCATCATCCTTGCGAACTTCACAAGGCCTCTGACGCGCAGCGGACCCGGCGACTCCGCTTTGGCTTGACTCTGCTTCAGCACAGGCGTCGATCTGCTGCCGCCAGAGGGGTGGTTCTCAGGCCTGCACCGGCAGCGCGGACACGGCGGGGCAGCGGTGAACGCGGGCGGATTGCTGCTTCATCCGAGTCAAGGCTGCTCGCGACAAAGCCTGGGTGGGCGGGTTCCCTTGTTGTGAGTCGCTGCGAGGGGGATATTCTTGGTGAGTGATTTGAGTTGTATCTAGAAGAGCTGATAGCAATGACCAAGTCAAACATTGGCAGACAAGGCCTCCCCGTGCTAGTTTATCTTACATCAGAGCCTCTGTCACTATCATGTTCGATGCGCATCCTGCACCATGAACCTCGCAAGCAGGTGACCATCGCGCTCAGAACCTCAGTCGTCCTCCATGGCTCCGAAGACGAACAGACCTTTGTTGCGCAGTACGATGCTAACAACCTGTTACCTGACACCACCGCCCTTGACGCTGCAACCATACACCTCCCAAACGGGCGGCATGGCGAGATAGCGCGAAATGCAGATCCTCGGATAACGATATTGTCCCTGGGCTTCAAGCAACCATGCCCACTCTGGTGTCCGCCCCTGGAATGCTTATCGCCCAAGGCCGAGCCCAGCTCCGTAGCCTCTTTCAACGAGCTCGTGGAACTCGCCAAAGCAACGACGGTGCACATTGTCTTTGACTACAACTGGCTCCACATAGATCTTCAAGTGCCTTTCCAGCGGCTTGTTAGGAGGAAGGAGAAGCTGACTGGCTATCCGGTCGAGAAGCATTATGCTAAGTTCTTGAGGCGAAGGGACTGGACAGTCTTCGGCCCTGCAGACACTGCTACTTCTCCTCCTGCTTATGCGGATCTCTCACACAAGCGACTGAGGCGAGGTGAATTCCGCATATATGCAGCATCCAGTTACTTAGCGACTAATGTGTGCGCAGTCTCGAGTTCAACGTCGCCGTCTCCGCCCCACAAACGCAAGGTCTTGGACGAGTCGCGACCGCAAACGCAGGTCCCCTCATCCACAGAGTGCACCACGTCACCTCCAACGTACGCGAACGACGAAGACGAGCACGACTTCCAATCGAAGGCCATCAGCCGCGTAGTCAAGCGCCACCTCCCTGCTGTCCTCAAACAAGTCTTACCAAAATTCCTTCCAACCCTCCTGCCGACCCTTTTCGCCATTCCGGCATCCTTCTCGTCCTCTCCGGACGACTCCGACTCCCAGGCCTCTCAATCTCCAGAGCTGACACCTCTCGGTCTGTCCTTAATCCCCCACCTCGTTGCGCACATACAGCCCCAGCTTCAGAAGATGCATACCCGAGCACTCTCCCATGAAGAGCGCCGGCGGGAGAGTGCAGCCTTGAGATTCGAAGAGGACTTCGAGTTCCACAAGGCTGAGTTGATGCAAATACGGGACGATGGTGTGGACGACCTGCAACGGGAGGCCATGTACGCGCTTGATGAGGCAAGGGAGAGGGGAAGAGATGTGGCTGAGGAGCTAGGGGAGGATATCGAGGCGGCTTTGCGCGATAGAGGGAAGAGAGCCCTCAATGCTGTGTGCAGTAGCTTCGAAAAAATGAAAAAGAAGACACTGAGAGAGGTAAGACTGGAGGAGTTGGTAGCGCAGGAGGTCCGCAAGTACGAGGGCGGTGCAAGATGTGCGGACGGGCGACGTTTGAGGTGGGCGAGGGGGAGCTGGAGACGAGGAGGAAAGGGTGGGTATCGGGGGCTTGGGGAGAGATGGGGGATAGCCTCATCGTTGTCTGCCCCATCGTCGTTTTGAGAACACTACAACAGCAAATATTATTGCCCTGCTTGCAAAGCCTCTCAGATCGGTCCTGGTGCTGGACGAGCGGAACGCCTGATTGACTGTGCAAGATTACACAAGCCCTCACCAAGGCATTATGTCACTTTCTCTCCTGCTATCTATGACTGCACTTTCCCTGAATATTCTAACACCATGCCAGACATCGCGATAGCCCCACATGCTCGAGACAGCGACCGACGGCAAGATTATAGTACAGTCCACGGAAAGCTCGGTACAAGAGATAGCCGGGGAAGCGAACGATCAGTTCGAAATCGGCTTCCGGCAGATCTATCTATACGCCATGAAGCACACATGGGACCTGGTCAACGACTGTCCGCAGAAAGAATGGGCTAGCAAAACGCCTCTAGCGAGGCCTCCACATCCTGTCGTCTGGCATGGCTTTGCCAACATTGCCTACACTCTAGGATTCGATTCTCCAGAGATTCAGCGGCTAAAGCAAACGAACTTTTCGAAGAGAAGGCGCGGCAGATATTTTTAGACAAGCAAGGATGAGATTGCGAGGATGCACTTCTGCAACAGCTCTTGGCGGATACCGCAAGGCTGTATCGAGGGACGGATCACAAAACACCACCCCAGCTCTTGCCGCAGGTGCTTGTAGATGGATCCGGCGAGCCTGTTGACAGACGCCAAGGCCGGTGCTACGAGAACGCCCACGAACGGGATAAGCAACACATGTTCTTCACGACGCTCAGCCAGCCCGTCGAGGGTCGCACAAGTTCAGTGACTTCGCTCTTCGTTCGAAAATCGATCTGCAATGCCTTCTTTCCGCCTTAGGAGATCAAATTCCAGAGCCCGTTGCTTCCAGTCCAAGAAAAGGTACTGACGGCACTGGGGCCGGAGAATGAAATGGTGACATGGATATGTCAGTTGCTGCTGCAGGCCTCAGCGGCACGAGAGGACCTGGCTTTGATTCTTTACCTACCCCCGATGCCGGCTCGACAGAGGCTTCTGAAGGAAACGGTCGTTCCACAAGGAGATACGTGGGATATGATGAGTTGTCGACACCAAGCATCGCGCGGATGAGTGCTACGAACAAGTATCTCGTAAGGCGGCGCTCTACCTCGTCTAGTCCTCCTGCAAAACCTTCGCCTCCCGCACCCTCATTGGCTTTGCAACTCGCAAGTACCGACGACCACAACCCGGCCTCAGCGAGAAAGCGTCCACGCACTGCCTAAGGGATCTAGAACCCGTTGAGAATCAGAGTGGCGGCGAGGATCAGACGGCCTCTGAATCTCCGAGCGTATCTTTCACCTCTGGCAAGAGCAGCTGGGAAGATGCTCGAGCTGACAGGCCAAAGCCAGCAGAAGTTGTTTGCATCGATCCTACCGGAGTCTGGTAAGAGGTAGAGGGCGTGAGGTGTAATAGCTAGTAGGAAGTGGAAGATGCGTTTGTAATGTTGCGGGAGAAGAACGAATGCTTTCCCTCGACGAAAGAAAGAAGAGATATCTTGCTTTCAGAGTGCTATGATCGTGCCTTGAAGGGCGATGGCTGCGTGTACTCCACGATGGGCGATGAATTGTGAGATCTTGTTGTCGACAAGCCGTTCGAATCTGATTCTTCTACCTTCGAAAATGAAAGTGACAGCGACCCGCATTGCTAGTCGTGCCGTGTGCCATGGCCTAAACATGAGCTGATCTAGAATCCAATAACAACTGAACAGACACTCTTCTTGACAACAGCTTCAGACTTAGTGAGAAGGTTGTCGATGTTCAAATGTTGGGGTTCGTGTATGGTACGCAGACAGGGAAAATTTGAAGGATTGAACTGGGGTTGTATTGTATGAAGTCACCCCCCCCCCCCCAACAAACATGAGTATATAAATCCTTTGTGATGTCATCCCAGCTCTTCTACTTATCAACGAAGCTCTTTCATTGGTCCGTAGTTGTTGATGTGTGTGTTGGAGTTAAATGTTGTTACTGCGTGAGCAGTGTCGGTCGGAGGCTGTGGTCAATGATTGTATTCCTATCTGTTGTTTTGGTGGTGTCTGTGTACAGGAGCTCTTGGCTCAGAGGTAAGTGCACTTGCCCTCGGGCAGTGCCTTCCTCAATAGAATATCATGTAACTTAGGCCACGTAGTTACAAATGTACAGTGTTGATGATGTGAAGAGTCCTTCCAACTCATCTTTCTGAGCGTTGTGTAGGTGTAACGCCTACGACCGAAAGCACCCCGATAGTGGTGTGATTCCTACAGGTTGCCGCACACCGCTCCTTTTCGGTTGCAAACTGCATCCTTGTCACCTGGACAAGGGTAGTTCCGATTCCCCTCCGAACTGTGTACTTAATCAGTTTGGCACAGTCGTTAGATAGAGTAGTTTTTCTGTATCCTTTTGTACAAGACCTATAGGTGTAGGGAATTCAATCCTAGTGTTCTCAACGTCCCAGCACTCCCATATGCCTCGCAGTGGACTCACACTTACTTCGGACATCTTCCCTACTGGCCTGCGTCGTTACAGTAGGTGTAGTTGTAGTAGTAGTACTGTGAGGGGTGCTATGGGTCCTAGGACTAGTTGACCTGTACTTTCTGGGTAAAATCCTTCTACGGATGAGTCAATAGTAGGGCAGAAGCGTACCAGAACTACACAGTGACACTCACAGGAGCCGGTGAGGGCATCCAGCAGTTTATAGTGGTGCCATCCCACCCAAATTATCCCCCCATCCCCAGTTGCTGTCGAGGTGAATATGCTGTCAACCTTTGCTTTTCTGATACTCACAACCAACTAGATGCTTCTCAGGCAGGTAAAAGGAAGCGTACTTTTACTCAATGTGGCAAGGAGCTTGCAGATTCCTTTTCACAACAGTAACATCATACTTAGGAGAGCTACACTCTCCATATCTTCACTCAGCGATTCCCCATCACGCCTCAACAATAGCAAGATGACACAGGATGAAGTCAACAACAACAAAGACAATTGTGACGACGCTCTTGTACCAGAAACACCCGCTGAAACACACTCAGGAGTCAGAGGATAGTGACGTAGGTAATAATTTGATTTAACTGAAGGCCTGCCTCTGTGCTCAGGTCCCTCAGTATGGTGGTGACGCCTATCAATGCTGTTGTCTGATATCATAGCCCATCCCTGACAATGGCTGACTTTGAAGTGCTGAAACACATCCTCCTTGTAGTGAGGGATTTCCTTAGCCTCTAAGTACTCAATAGCACCCCAGACCTTAGCTTTCACAGGTGTATCATGTTGCTGACGATTGTTGTAGTCTGCCATTTCAAAAACTAAGAAATCTGATAAGGAATTGGCTGTGTAGGGGGGGGGGGGTTGATGATTGTGAAGGTGTTGCACCTCGGCTAATTCTGGTGTGCGGGGTTTTATTGCAGCCGCGTGTCGGGATTGCTGCGGACCACGCGGGATGCTACACGAAGGCAGCGCGGGCCAACGCGGGCCAACTGTGTCAGCACTAATTGCAGCGCAGCTGTCATTCCAAACGCCGAGCTCGCCCACAGCGTACATCTAATTGGAAGGAAGATAGGCTGGCATGGAAGGTGTTAGGATAGAAGGGCGCTGAAGCAACCAGGCCCGCCGGTCACACTGAACACGTGTACAGCATCTGCTCCGACACCTGTCGGGAAGCGCGCCTGCTCAGAGCACAACCGAGGCAGCGACGAACATCAAGCGCTCAGCCTTTTGAGCGGTCGATGCCCTGACGACCCAGTGCGTGCCCAGACAGGACCTGCCGCGTGAGAACCTTAAATCAACGACACCTCTGCGTATCGCTCACATCCTCGCGCAACAGTACGCCGCAGAGGTTATGAACGAGCCACGCCAGATGAGAATCGGTCGCGGTCACTCAGGCGTGGCGCGCATGCTAACCTGACTACAGTACTGACTACTCGTGCTGTTGGCGTTAGCTTGACAAAAGAGGCAGGAGGTTAGCGTCTGGAGCAATGACTCGGTATACGATCAGACTACGGCTGCTGCTGCTGAATACACAAGCGTGTTGCTGCACGCTCCGCTTGACGCCCGGACGGCAAGAGTGAATCGGTCCTGTCCTGGCCATAGTGTATCCATCGATGCTAGTCCCAGCGAGGAGTTGCGAAGCCCATATAGCACAGACACGCTGGTGCGTCGTCTCCAGCCATTCCAATGGTTACAATATAGTAGTATGCTAATAGTACTGTCCTCGACTTCTGCCGGCGTAAAAGCCGCACAGCGCTTCGTCCCGCCAGGCCCGGGTCCAAAAGGTGAGACACTCTCGACAGCGCGTCCTGCGTCCCAGGACTGCTTGGCCAGGCAGTTGTACGTCGAACCTGGCCGTAGTCATTCGTGAAGGTGCTAGCGTACAGAGCAAAGCTCAGTCCATCTCAAGAGCATTTCCGCACCCTGAAAATGGTTAGACAAGGCATTACTCTAACCCTGACCGACGTATGCCCGTTGGTAGTTGGTTGTTGATGGAACACGACAAATTCTGTCCCATTCGAGATCATCTCCGCAATCCTTGTAGAGGTTGTCGAGACCAACATCCGTGGTGGCCCCACGTACACCTTCGGCCTAACACAAGCCCCACTTCCACTCCAGAAAACCACTGTCCAACGCTATGTAAGAGGGCTTGCCCAACCGGAGTCGCTCAAGTGGGATGCAACATCTGCGATCCGCCATGTGTGCTGGCAGTGGCACGAGTGGGCTATAGGATATGCCCTCAAGAGTGTTTCTCTCCGCCGCTACTATGGAGAAGAGATCAGTACATTCGATGGCCCCATTACTCTCGTCTTTCTGTTCTGACAATGTTGCAGCGGTGGACAGAGCTCTCAAGCCGACGATCGAGCTATCTGCTTTACGAACTCATCGACCGACCGACTAGCACCGCTGTGTACCGCGGTCCGCTTGCCTCACTCAACAAAACGCTGAAGACCTTCAACGATTTTCCTGAACTGGCTTTCAAGGTCGAGCGCATGTGGTTCCGTAGATTCTACACCGCTGAGACAAACCGCCTCACAGCTGACATGCTACAAAACTGCATGAACCTTGCGTCACTGTCCATCCCGTGGACCACTATTCGGTAGCTGGACTCAAAACCATGGCGGACTATGATTGCAGACAGAGGCCAGCTGTTCAAATCACTGGAGCTCCAATGTGTGGAATCGATGTTCCAGCAGGTTGCGGAGAGCGACAGGTGTGCGATCAGTCTTCAATATCTGTTTTGAGTCTCCAATGATGGTCTGATGTAATTGTAGAACTTGTCAAGCGGCCACGCAAGGCATTCGATCTTAGGATGCTCTTCCAAGAATGTAAGGAATGTGTCTTCTAGATGTGACACATCGTTGGGAAGCTTGATCATGGGCAGCACGGCGTTGCGTATTTGAAATGCGATCAGATGTGGCAACCTCGTCACAGTGAGATCTTTTAAAAATTCACTCGACCCATCAACTTTGTCATTGTGCTCTTGCTGCCGCCAGAGGATCCAGTCCAGATCGAGCCTGGTCAGCGTTGACTGCGAGAACTGGAACAGCCATTGCATTGGTCGCATTGATGGTAAAGGCGTCCTAGCATCGATGTCGACGGGTAGGTCGTCAACATACTCCGTTAGGTCAGAAAGTTCTGCCCATATCATGTTATCGAACTCTCTTCCCATTGCTGTCATCGCTTCCTTTGCGGGCACCATGAGCTGTACTGGCAGATCTTTCTGAGAGAAATTCCACAGTCGTACCAACCCAAGCGCCTGCTCCGTTGTGCAGTTGGTAGTAATGACCTCCACAAGCAAGCTTCACGTCTAGCCATGCCATGTCGTGTCTGTTCCCAGCAGCCCCTGCTTCTGCTGCTCTGAGACGCTGTATCGAATGAATTCTAGACCAGTGGTACTGGTAGGGCCAAGGAACATGACATCCACAACACTAAAGGCACAGCTTTCAAGCCAAAGCTTTCGGAGTGAGACCTTCCGCGGTCATTATTGGTCCAGAAAGCCAGAGATAGGGGGAGTTGTCGAGTGCCAATGAACGTGTACGATCCGCAGAGTGTGTACGTTGACCAAAATGCGGATGGCCACTTTGAGCAGCTTGTGTAGCCTTGCATCCACGGACAGGTTATCGGCATCAAAATACATGGATGGTAGCTCGGTGCATATATTCGGCGTGGGCAAGTGGCAGCGGTGTGTGAGCGTCTGGACCTTCGAGGCCAGTGTGGTGTTTTGTGGCCAGAATATACAGCTTCCCTATCATAGGCCTATTATCGTGTTCATCCGTCTCTTCACCTCGCCCGCTCAACAGTGTGTCTGTGAGATCGTTCTCGTGCAGTGTCCGCTTGCCGACCAGGCATACATTCTGCCAGAGAAGATCGGTCACATGGCGGTGGAGGGTACGGGAGATGAGTGCGGTCCTCTTGAGGTCTGCTGTATGAAGGTGGGATATGATCAGCTGCAGTAGCTCCTCGGGAAGATTCTCGAGCTTGTATGTGTAGTTAGCACCTGCGTTAGGGGAAGTGGGTGCAACTACGCACGGCAGCGCAAGGGAGACGCCCTGTGCTTTCTGCTATGCACAGCGAGCTCGCCTCGCGCTGAGCGAGTGTAGTCATGACGTTACAGTTGAGCAACTGCACGAGTTTATCGAGATCAACGTCCCTATATCGCCCACCAGTAGACGACCGCGGGGGCCGGGAATATCAGCGTGCGCTATTGTCGGAATCTGTTGAAGCTCAATAGTATCGTGCGTGAGAGAACGTATGCGGAGTGATAGAGGTGCCTCGGCTTTGCTCGGGCTCGGTAGCACTTGGCGCGGTAGAGCAGTGCTTATACTTCCAGCACACTGCCACCACACAAGCCAGATCCTTGAGACGAGATAAAAAGCTGCAGCAGGATAAAATCGACAGAGTGAACTGCGCTACACTCCCGCCAACAGACAAGGGTCTCCAAGGGCCGAGGTCGTTGCTGGTCCTGTGGTAATTGACGTACAGTACTGCACTCACATGCATATTTGGCTTCCGGTTCTCACAAGGCGCAAAATCCTTACGCGGCAGGGGCCCCTGTCACGCCACGCTTGTGCCGCAGGCTTGTCGTTCGCCGCTTGACGCAAAGTCGACGGCGCGCCACTCGTGGAATGCCGGGGAGGCCTGTGCATAGCCATCTACAAGGGTGTTTTATGATAGTCAAGTGCATGCGCAGACCGTTTGGGATTGTATTGCAAAGGAGGAAGAGCGACCTAGGCCCTGACTGTTGCGACCGACCAAATGTTCTCTCATGCGGCGAAGAAGATGCTGTCGACTGGTCCTCTAGCCTCAGGTGCCTATATGTAGGCTCGACCCGTGTGAGTGCGCGTTTGGTCCTAATCATTAAATCTTGCGTGTCCCCCTCTGGCCGAAATCTAGGTGGCTGAGCTTATGCCAGAAGTGGAATAAGGCTTAGAAACGTGTATTTAAGCGAGATAACGTGCAGATATTTTAACGTGGATTACGGTAACGACAGGGTTGAGCGAGGCTTGCGCTGGGATCGAAATCCCAAGCCCGCGGGCGGGTTAAGAGGCACGCCAGACTTTGAACAACAAAGTTATGAAAAGCAATACCGCATCAATCTTATCCGTGCAGAACCTTTGACACGGCGAAACACAACTAGTTACCTTCCTCCTGATGAATGAATATCGTACATACCATTGACGATGGGCTGCGGAATGAGCGTAGAGGAGGATGTGAGAGAGCGAAGGAATGCGGAGATTGAGAGCCAACTGATACAGGACAAGGTGGCGCAGCGCAACGAGATCAAGATCTTGCTCCTTGGTGAGCGATCCCCTCTAAGGACTACTTGCGTTGGTGAAATCTAATCCAAGCAGGTGCTGGAGAATCTGGAAAATCGACTATCCTAAAGCAGATGAAGCTCATTCACGAGGGCGGTTACTCGCGCGAGGAGCGGAAACTTTTCAAGCCGGTCATCTTCATGAACACGATACAATCGATGCGCGTCATTCTCGAAGCCATGGAGGCGCTCGATGTACCATTTGACGATCAGCGTGCCCTAAACCACGCTCAGATCCTTTTGGCGAAACACGAACAAGTCGATAGCGGCAACTTATCGCCAGGAGTTGGTAGAGCAATTTCAGTTCTCTGGCGGGACGCCGGTGTGCAGCAATGCTTTCGACGGTCGCGCGAGTATCAGTTGAACGATTCAGCTAAATAGTAAGGCTCTCACGACAGGCGCACAAGTACCTCTCTAATGGTCACAGTTACTTTGACTCTATCGACCGCATCGCCGCTCCTGACTACACACCGAATGACCAGGACGTTCTCCGATCGCGATTGAAGACAACCGGTATCACAGAGACCACTTTCATCATTGGTAACCTTATCTACCGCATGTTCGATGTTGGTGGTCAGCGAACAGAAAGAAAGAAGTGGATACACTGCTTTGAAAATGTTACAGCAATTCTCTTTCTAGTCGCCATCTCGGAGTACGACCAATCACTCTTCGAAGACGAAACAGTCGATCGCATGCAAGAAGCCCTCACTCTGTTCGACTCCATCTGCAACTCGCAGTGGTTTGTTGAGACTTCTATCATCTTGGTTTTCACTAAAACTGATATACTCAGAGAGAAGTTGCCTGTCAGCCCATTGCAGACATATTTTTCCGATTATGATGGGGGGCCAGACTTCACTGCCGCTTGCGAGTATATCATGAACAGATTTGTTTCGCTGAGCCAGCATAAGAAAAGGCAGATCTATACGCAATTTACCTGTGCGACAGACACCACACAAGTTCATTGTGTCTTGGCAGCAGTAAACGGTAAGAATCTTGTCCTCGAAAAAAAAAAAACCTCAACTTAGCTGAGATCTTATAGACATTATCATTCGAGAAAACCTTCGATCGAACGGTCTAATATAATTGAAGGAAACACTACCTTCTTTCATTCAAACCCAGGAGGAACATGCGAGGCGTATCTAGTTCTATCCAAAGTCGTCATCTGTACGGTCTCAAGTACGTTTTTCTTTTCAACGTTCCTGCCTGACTGACCGTGTTCATACCTCCTCCGAACTGTCTCTCTACCTGTTCACGGTACGCGGCCTTCAGAGGACCGAACACACCAACGTCACACAACAAAGCACGATGTTGTTTTCAAAGCAAATTTTTAGAATCACAGATGACCCGTGCGCTTTGAAACAGTTGAAGCTCCGAACTAAGGATACAAGTTATGATACCTTCTATCGGTGAGCTGGAAACACATGTATAGATCTGTGAAGGGTCGTCACAGATTTATACTACAGTTGGGTGCCAAAAGTCCGTTCGCGATGGCTTTACCCTACTAAAAATGACCATGTTCTATAATAAATATAACAGCCTCTGCTGATTTAAATAATATAAGATAAGGAAGTATAGAAGTGAATGTTTCTTTCTAACACTCTCTAAAGTTTTAGCAATTAACGTACCTCACGGGTGAGTTGATCACACTACATGTACCGGCCAGCCCTTGGACAGACTCCGGGGCTGGGCCGGAGGCCCACGGGCCACAGGCCCGTTGCGATTCGTGCCTTAAGCAAAGCTCGTAGACACTATTCGATTGGTTCTCGGGGATGAGCGGAGGTACAGGGAGTCCGTAGGGGTTTGACAGTCACCTAAGCAAGGCTCGGGTGGTCAGGGGTAGACTATCCGGGCGAGGCGGTAGTAGCCTTCGTAATAGTCGAGGTAATAGCCGTCTAGCCGGAGGCCGTGACGACTGGG